CCAGTTCCCTGCTGCAGGGGCTGGCCTGCTTGGCTCAGAGGGGCTGTGCGGGGGGTCAGGATTGCCCCACATGTTTCAGGAGTCGTTGTAAACTGTGATTTGTGAGACGTGTGTCCCAGATGCTAACCTTCTGTTCCTCCTTTCTTGTTTTTCTCTCTTCCCCTCCCGGCTCCCTGTATCTCGCAGTTCACTCTCCTTCCTTGTCAAGTTAGAGCAGTTGGATCTCGGTGGCAATGACCTGGAAGTACTGGTAGGTGAGGGATGGCGGGGAGGGAATGGGGGTGGGTGGTAGGGGCAGAACCCTGTCCCTCTGTGGAAACAAGTGGGTTTTCATCTGAAACGCAAAGAAATAGACCCTCAGGTTGCTTAGGAAGACTCTGATCTGCCCACCACCACCCCAGCACGGTGTTCTCTTCACGTGTTGGCCCTTGTGCCTTGCTTCCTGCTGTCCTGGTGCACAACTTGCTCTGCTCTGTCCAAGCCCATCTGCTCTGGGGTGTCTGTTTTGGCTGCGTAGCGGCCTAAGGGTCTGTCCTTCCCCATGGGGCTCTGCCTGGCCCTTCCTTTCTCTCTTGTGTTGCGCTGCACCCGGCTGTTGCTTTTCTCTTCTGCTAGGCCACCTTTCTCCTTTCTGCCTTGATTTCTCTGCTGGGAAGGGCAGGACCACGCTGCGGTGTTCCTGGCAGTGAAGTCAGCCGAGCGTGGGGTGGGTGGCTCCATGGAGAGCCACGCTGAGAGCCAGCGCACGGCCTCAAAATTCGGCTTCTCTTGGCATTCAGGGGCATCCAAGGCTGCTCTTTAATTTTGCAGCTATTAAGCTGTTACTGAGTCCAGTCCTGAGGGGTTGCACTGGGTGAGCTTTCCAGGTCCCTTCCAACTCCTCGTATTCTGGGTTTCTGTGAAACCAGGGGGCAGAGAAGCAGCTCGTGCAGCAGCTCACTTGTGTGCCCAGCTGTCCGATGTTGAACCGCGCTTCAGTGCTGCGTTAAGTCCGCACCCCAACGCCCATCAGCGTGCGTGGTGGTTGTGAGCGATGCCGTGAACCTGTGGCTACCCCTGCTGGCATCACCTCGGGTTGGCCAGCATTACCCAGATGTTTGTTTTCATGTCTGAGAGGAGGAAGAGGGGAAAGACTCCTCTCTTCCAAGGGCAAAATTTCCAAACCTGATTAGTTCTTGTCTCACCTGCTACCGGACGGTCCTCGCTGTTGTCTTCCATGCGTCCTGCTGGGACCTTTCACAGCCAATGTGCCATCCCAGACATCCCCAAACATGTGCTGCTGTGTTGTGCCACACCAACACATCATCAGCGGTTTGGTGAACGGTTCTAGGAGGTCTGGAGGCAACGGCAGGGTCCAGCTTTGCAGAGACGTGGTGTGGTTTGTAGCCTCCTGCGGAAGGGACTGATGCTGTTACTGTCCTGCTCTGTTACAGCCGGATACTCTGGGAGCGCTACCAAACCTGCGGGAGCTCTGGTTGGACCGGAACCAGCTCTCAGCCCTCCCTCCAGTGAGTACCTGTTCGGGGCCATTGGTTCACTGCTCTGCTCCCCTCCTCGGCCGCTCCCTCACGTTGTGGTGTCTCCTTTCTCGCCCTAGGAGCTGGGCAATCTCCGCCGCTTGGTCTGCCTGGATGTGTCCGAGAACAAACTGGAGCAGTTGCCCAACGAGGTCAGTGGGCTGGTAGCCCTGACGGACCTGCTCCTGTCCCAGAACCTGCTGGAGTGCATTCCCGATGGGATCGGTGAGTACTGCGGGATGGGGAGCGGTGCAGGACTTCACTGCCTCGGGGGGGGGCTCAGGCAGGAGCGCGTCTACCGAAACACCAGGGCTTGGCGGAGGTGTTCGCAGTGGTTGGGCGCAGCAGCAGTGGATGGGTGAGCAGAGCTTTATGGGATAAATTCAGGTTCTTGGTCTGCGTGATGCACGTAGCATGCTGGAGAAGAAAGGTGGAGCCTGTGTTGTTAGGTCGTGTACCCTCTGATGGGAGGCGTTTCAGCCCCGCGGACGCAGAACAGCGTTGTTGTCTCCGTGGTGTCGTTCACACCCAGCTTGTTGCCCCGGCCAGGTCAGCTGAAGCAGCTCTCCATCCTCAAGGTGGACCAGAATCGGCTGACAGAGGTGACCGAGTCCATCGGGGACTGCGAAAACCTGTCAGAGCTCATCTTGACGGAGAACGTGCTGACGGTGAGTGCGCCAGGGCTCGGTTTAGCCGCGTGCCGGGGCTCCTTCCCATCTTCCTGAGCGTGATCCTGCTGCTCTCCCTTCAGCTGCTGTGGGGCACAGAGTTTCCCCTGGCTCATAGGCTCTGGAGAAGACCCTGTGCAAGCTGCTTGCTTTTGTGTCCTCTGGAAAATTCGCTGGGGTAGCTTTGGTGCTGGCTTTATGAGAGCGCATCCCAAAGCCCATCTGATCTGGTGGGAGCAGGGCCACGTGAGAAAGCTGCGTTTGGTGAGGGGCCGTGGAGTAGTGTAACGTAAAATGGCCCTGCTCCAAACTGCTCACGATTTGATTGTTAAAATATTCATTGGGAACGAACAGGAGAAAAATCTTGACCGCGGGTGTTGTGGGTGCGCTGAGCCGAGGTGAAGAGTGGGCACGAAACAATCCGTGAACCTGAGGGAAAATCTGTCCCAGAGTTGGAGTGAGAACTGACCAAAATGTGTCTGTTGGCATGGAAGGCGGCTTTTTTTCCTTCCTAGACAGAGGGGTTTGTGCCTCAATGGTTTTATTCTACCACTCTTACCTTTTGCAACTGCTGGGTCACCTCTTTCCCAGGCCTTACCCAAGTCCCTGGGCAAGCTGGCCAAGCTGACGAACCTGAACGTGGATCGGAACCGCCTGACGTCCCTCCCGGCTGAGATCGGAGGCTGCGCCAACCTGAACGTGCTGTCCCTGCGCGACAACCGCCTGGCCCTGCTGCCCCCGGAGCTCGCCAACACCACCGAGCTTCACGTGCTGGATGTGGCCGGGAACAGGTCAGGAGCAGGAAGGGTGCACGGCCTGGCAGGGAGTTCCTGCTGGGAAGGAGCAGCGTGGGCTGGGCCCTGGCGCGTTCTGGGAGGTGCTGGGTTTGTGCTGATCCCAGGCTCTGCAGTTTGGAGAAGCCTGGACTGGCTCTGGGAAGATGCGTGGGTCCCAAGCTTTGCCTGTTAAGCCCTTCGCTGTGTTACTTGAATAGAGGTAGAGCTACTGGAGAATCACACAGAATCACAGGAGGAGTTGGAAGGGACC